TTCCTTGTCCTTGTTGTTGTTGACATTGCTCACTCTATTAGTCACTCATTCCTTGTTGTTGTTGTTGTTAGTACCGTTCACTTCATTGGTCATTCATTCCTTGTTGTTGTTGTTGACATTGCTCACTCTATTAATTATTTACTTTTCAGGCTGGATAGGATGAATTGAAGTAAATGTAAATTTTATAAGATGAAACTTCAGAATGTGTAAACTTTTCAATCCATCAAGATTTCTGTGTTTTATGTTACGAAAGAATAGGTCAGTTGTTTTTTTTCTTTTTGCTTATGAAAATTAATAAATCCCAAAAACAATTGATTTTTTCGAAAGGAGTTTTAATTTTCAGTTAACATAAAGAATGTGTCAATCGTCGTTCAATCGCTGATTTCGCGAATTTTTCAACAAATTTTTCATCCTTCTTACAGGATAATTTGTTTATGAAGAATTGTAGAAATTGTATCAATGCAATAGATTGCTCATACTTGATTCTGATATTGATTTTATCGCAAGTAAATTGAATTTTCAATCCTAACTGCTTCTTAAAAAAAGTCAGATTTTTGAATTCAAAATATTCAAACTTTTACAAATTTTACTGTTAACAGATAAGTAATATTCCTACTTTTTGTAGCAATGATAATTAGTTTGCTGACAGATAATCAGACAATTTATTTTGCTAATAAACATTTCTAAAGAATTTGTAAGCCATTTATTACTCGTTATTATAAATTATTAATTACGCAATACAAGCTAATTAATTTTTGCTATCATTTTTTTACTTGATTTCGATATATATATACATATACTTACTCAATTAAGAGATTGAATTTAAATAAATTCCAATGAACTCATCAAATATACTGTAAACATTTTGTTGTTGTTCAATTTTTTTTCTAAAAATCTGTTCGAGAAATGGTACTGTTATTGTATTGTATTTTTCCGGTATTATTTTGTAATCAATGATGTGACAGATTATGTTTTGTAGTATGCAATGTATTATGGCCTTATCATTATGTCACCATTTTTTTTTTTCATAGACCAAAGCATGCTATTGTTTTATGATACAATAGGCCTTATCATTATGTCACCATTTTTTTTTCATGAACCAAAGCATGCTATTGTTTTATGGTACAATATATGATCGCAAAACAATTGTCTGCATCAAAAGTAAGGGGAAAATCTTATTTGCCTGGACAAAAATGAAACATATTACTTTCAGTTGAGCAACAACAAACTTTTACTTTCTACTATTTTTAATTATGCAAATCATGGTACTATTAAAACAATAGATTACTTACTTATGAAATATATCGATTGTTTACTTATAAGATCTAGTAAAATACTGGGCGGAGCAGCGATGGCCGAGTGGTTAAGGCGTTGGACTTAAGATCCAATGGACGCTAAGTCCTCGTGGGTTCAAACCCCACTCGCTGCAGACTACTCAACGCTTTTGGACTAATTTTGATTTCGATATATATCGTATGATTTGAAATCTTTAACAAATGGACATGGGAAATTTTACCTCACTATTAATTATTAATAGTTTGATTCAAATAATTTGTCAAAAGAAAGAAATAATTAAAACAACTTTAATAATAAATATTACAATATTTTAAGAGTATTGCAAACGCATTATCGTATGAATTATGCATAGTTAATGCAATCAATGAGATTTTGTAAAGTATTAACTCTTAAAGTAATTTGTGATATAAGGATAGTCTTAAATTCATTACATTAAATTTTATTTTTTTAAAATTCATTACATTAAACATTAATTTCATTAAATTCATTTTTTAATTTTTTCTTTTCTTTTAATAATTGAACTTCTATCAAACATTGACAAATGCCTATTTTACCATTATAACATCATTAAAATACTTGCCTATTTCATATAACATTAAAAACGCTATAAATTAACAAAATCGATCATTTATGATAACAATATGACTTTTTTTTCTACATATGATCAAAACATTCATTCAATTGATGTGACATAAATAATGTCTCATCACATAACATTTATAATTTCTAAATGCACTCAATACATTTTCCATTCAGAAATACGCGACAATTAAGAATAACACTCATTCTCAGTTCAAAGCTATGCGACAACAACATTCAGTTCATTCTCAGTTCAAAGATATACGATAACTGTCGGAAAAACCGAAATAGCTGTATCATAGAATCATTCATTCAAATAGATCGCATTTACACTTTTTTTTCTCATGCTTAAAGTAATGAATCAGCCATCTAATCTACTAAAAGTGCTTTTTCTGATGTTTTGTGCATATATGGTAACTAATTTGTAAAGGCTTTATCCCATGCAAAATCTTTTATACAATGGTGAGAAAGCTGTACATCAGATAAAATAATTCCTATGCAATTTTTTCTAAATAAAACTGTTCTTATATGTAAATTTCTCTTGCACCTGTGAGAATACTGTCAACATGTAATGATTGTTCCTCTTCACACATCCTATATATAAACCCTAAGAATCTCTAACAAGATTCAATGTTAATTTTCTCCCCGTCGCCACTCAACTCTACTCAATACAATCCTGATTTATTTCGTCTCCGTTTATGAATCTTCACTTCAATATTTTTCCCGTTATTCTACGTTATTAAGTTAGACTTTATTATACTATAGTCGGAATTACTTCTAACCTGTTTTTATTGTATTTGTTATTTGAACAGCAATGAAGGATAACTATTATACTCCTCGAACACATAACCAATCAGTATTCAGTAAGTTATTTTTTTATAAAACATAATTGCTTTATTACTAACAAGAACAGTAATCTTCATCTTCTAATTCTCTTAATTTTTTTTCACGACAAAATTTTGGTGCCCGAGGTGAGGTACCACTGATATTAGCCATAACAAATAATTATAATTGGAAATCCCTATTGATATGACTTCTGTTATACTAGAAAGTATAAAACCTGTAAGGAATCGACTAATAAACATCCTCCAAGAAGTAAGGGCACTAGATGTCATTGCCAGAACAAAGTTTGCCATGTTCAGAACGACTTCAAATACATGAAACTAGAAGGTGACTTTTTGAAGAAAAAATTATGAGGCTACACATATGCATTCAATCACTTCAAGAAGCGAATTACAAATGGATCGATTATCTTCAAAACTCCCTTACCACATCAAGAAAAAGGAGAAGGAGGAGAAGTAACGATAGGAGAGCAAGGAATTTTTAATTTAATATATGAAGCAAAAGAAACCGTCGTTACTTTAACTATTTATCAAAAGGAAATTGACTCCGAAATCCAGAAACTAACAGCAATTCCAAACCAGCAGCATGCATTACCAACGGAGGTGACGAAGCCAATTCCACCTACCTATACTAGTGTCAATCTTCTTCAATTATCTTTATCTGTTTTCAATGGCGATCCACGACACTGGAGAGAATTTTGGAGTAGCTTTAACGCTGCTGTCCACTCACAAACCATCCCAGAAATCCAAAAACTAAACTAATTAATCTTCTGTTTAAAAGGACCAGCCGTAAGAGGTTTTGATATTGCCCCTGAAAACTATGAAGTTGCGTGAACATTGCTGATCGAAAAATATGGAGACTCATCGATGACAACCAAATTATTATACAACGAACTACAATTCATAATACAAAACGAAAAGGAATGGATTGAAGCCGTTGAAAAAATGGAAAGAATCCTCCGACAATTAGAAGTACTGGCTGAAAATTTGGAACATTCCAGTATAGAAAGTATAATTGAAAGGCGACTACCGCGATGGATACTTGACAAAGTATACCATCAGAAAACCAACGATTCTTCATGGTCAATATTAAAACTAAGAAGATTTCTCGGGAACAAGTCAATGAACAGGTAAAAACCAATTCACATCAACTCAAATGGAGAGAAAACCCATTTTGTCTAAATACAAACAAATTCCGAAAGGATATAATGAAACTTCAGCATTGGCAACAATTCATAATGAGAAGAAAATTCCTTAATAACAAAAAAGAGAGAAAACAAAACTAAAAGACCATGTACATTTTGTAACCAAGATCACTGGGACAGTGAATGCCGAGTATATCCAACTGTGAAAGCTCGAATGAACATCTCAAGGAAATAAAGAAATGTATTGTTTGTTTAAAGACACATCAAGGCGAAGAATACAGAAGAAAGGTAAATGTTTT